TGAAATATATGTGGAGGCACTACACGCTCTCCATATTCTATATACTTACGCTACTCTGCATGCTCCCACAGTACATAAGGTACATATGGCTGAACGCGAACCGATTCAGTAATAGCCAGCTAATACGTTATTATTCGCGAAGTAGAAATTGGTAATGTATGATCCATTAAATGCTTGAAATTAATATAATTTCTTTAATGCGACCGAAAAATGAATTTGATGTGATGATCAAATTAAATTGTCAAACATAACTGTTCTTAAGGCTAACCGCTCGATAAACCATTTGTTATGATTCGGTGCAATGCCTATATTGACTAGTGAAGCTGGATAATATCCTCCTTGTCTAACTCTTTCTCCAACTCTCGAAGATTAGTCGATTAAGTTTGTTAACAATGGAATGCCAGAGCATTACATCATAGATAATATTCGTTTGTGAAGAAAACTCCAACCCCAATAAGAAAAACTAATGTCACGACTTCAGCTCTGTTTTGAATACCTAACCCTAGCCTTTCGCATTATAGCCGATCTCATTTGGTAACAAAAACTCTGTTTTATGGTGACTGAAACTCACTCAATATTTCAGGTTATCTTGGAAAGAGAGATAGACATCCCACGAAATGAATTTTCATAAAAATCTATAAATAATACAGTCAGGCAAACACAGGACTTGTGTATCCACACTAAGTTGCTTACTAGGACGATCGATCGTAAATATGCAATCATTGGGTGATTTCGGGTTCTATTTTTTCGAAAATTACGCATCAAAGAGCGAACACTCAGATTCGTGCACAATCTTTTTTCTTTAAGAGGAGATGCAACTTGGAATGCTCACCCAGCCGACGTGACCACAGCCCCCTTAAGGGACAGCTTTAAGAAGAGACTTGACAAACACACACATCTCCCTCTTGGACCAGCTGTGCCTGAAGCATGTCCTGAGACATGCTAGTTGTTATTACTGCCATCTCTGTTCATTATCTCGCCTATTATCTCTGTTTCCTCTACATTAGTAACACTTCGGTTCTCTCTCACAATCTTCGCTAACAGTTAATATAACAAATTATCTATATGATACTTGATTCTGAAATCCTCTTATTAGCACTAGAATTTTTCTCCCTATTATTCTCCACTTTGCAACTAACTGTTCTCCAGTCTAATGTGATAGCTGCTGGTATCCAGAAACCCTACTGCCCTGAAATAAACGTATTCATTCAAATCACGGGACGTAGAAACTCACAAACAACTGACTAGAATCAGGCAGTCGAGTATCCAGACCCTCATCTATTGAGCACTACCAAAAACCTGCGACCGTACTGAAAGAACAAGAATCGAGAACAAAGAAATCAATTGGTTTATACCAGCTTTTGAAAAAGATATTGGATATTGGCAACATTACATTAAACCGCTCATCGTTCCTGCCACTTGTAAACTAAGGTCAAAATATTTAGTGGCTTTTTTAAACAGTTAGGCTGTAACGCTTTCCTAACCTTACTTTAACAACTTCTAGTTCTGTTTATCAGTTTGTCTTGATCTCATGCTGGATTTATTTCTGGTTGCTATCTATTAGTTTCTCTATTGATGTAAGTGCATTCTATGAGCTTGCTGAGTCATCGGCCCATCTTATTTTTCTTGCTCATTCCTCTTCCAGATAACCCCACACGCTGCTCCACACATACCCCCAGTACACAAGGTACCTCCTCGCAAACTAACCAAAGGCTGGAGTTACAAGATGTGCAAGTTCGTTTAGAAAGTCTTCATCATGCCACCGACTTACCTGAAATTTCTTGTTCTCTGAACAGCTGTTAAACTAGTAATTGATAATATTTTCAAACTGAATCAAGGTTCGTGTTTGTACTTGCTAATTATCCAGACACTTGCACCTACCTATCCGACGTGTCTTCTGACTGTGGGCCTCTAAACTGTGTACCTGAATGATATCTATATCACTAGGCTTATTAAAGAGATTACCTTATGTTTTGTCGACAATATCAGTAATAATTTACAGGTCACTTCGGTTGGGTAAATTCTAGTTGTTTATTTTGAGCATCAGTAATAAAAGATGAGACACGACTATTACTCCTGATTTATCGTGATTAGACGAAACATTTATAAGCCATAGTGTTAAATGTGTCATATCAGTTCTCTGAAGTATCTTTTCTGTAGTCATCAATATTAATCCCTACACTGACTGCAGAATAGTATGATTGTAACCTCTAATGTATCTCCATCGTATGAAAACTTGTTGAATCTCTTTTGGTATTGGAAAATTAGACACGCAACATTTCCTAAAGTTACGTCGAACAAATAACGCCCAGCACATCATTTCTCCGTAAACTTCACTTCTTTCTATCTTTTATAAGCATCTTAGACTTATCTTACCTGCGTTTAATCAAAACTCGCATATATCCGATGCTGTATTATTATCTTTTTACCTTCTAAATTAAATTAGTCTAAATGGATTCAGAATAACATGCTAACAAAGTAATTATATCACATAATGTCATTTGTCTTCTAATGACCATAATCTCAGTTCGTATTCTCTATGCCAAATGTTTTGTTATTATTTATACTGCTGCTACCACTTCAATATCCATCTTGATGATTTTATCTCCTTGTGTTGATGAGTTTTGGATACTTTATCTGTTGCACATGTGCCACGCTCTACGTTGCTAATGACTGATTGGCCCTGATTAGTGTAATCGAATACAGGTAGACTTTTTTGGACTGGCAGTTACACCACAATGCAAGTTATGCTCCTCGTTCGGTTTCGTCAAATTGGTGATACTACCTTGTTACCTAAATCAAATACACAAAGCAGGGTTTAAATTTGTACTCTAATGACGATCGATCGGTCTCTAAAACCACAGAGGCATCTATCAGTGGACTAATATTAACCATCGTATTTATCCTCGTTTAAGTTTTTCATACTTTTAGGATGAAAGGCTCTGTGGTTGTTTGTAGTTACATATTGTTGACTAACGAGTATTCGTTAGTAAATAATTAATCAATGTGTGATCGAGCTGTTACATACTAATGAACATTCTAATTTCATTTTTCTTTATGCTACAAGTTATGGCTTTTGCATCGTCACGAATACAATTATTAAAAAGCAGTTACTTCTCAAGTCAAATATATGCTATATTTTATTGCCAAAAATGTAAATTGACGGAGAATCGCCCCGTTCGTGTACGATTTGCACCAAGTCCCACAGGTTTTATGCATTTAGGCGGTTTACGTACTGCTTTATTTAACAAGTTGTTTGCTGTGAAACATTCGGGAAAATTCATACTACGTATTGAAGATACCGACAAGGTAAAGTAATTATTTCTACATACTTATTCAATAGTTCAGAGTGCAACCAAATGCTAAGGATGATATTATAGAATCACTTCACTGGTGTGGATTAACTCCTGACGAAGGTCCAATTACTGGTGGAAACTATGGTTCATACATCCAAGTATGTTCATAAGAAACTTTTAAAATTTCTGTATCATTGATTGTTACTGTCTGAAAATGTCTGTTGAATCATTTTGAAGTTCATTATTGTCTTGTTGCTGAACAAGGACAGTATATATAAGTATGTTGGCCACTTGACACGTAAGCTAATGATAATACTTAACTACCCAAATGAATTGGCTTATGTTTTATTTTCTGAGCTGAGTTGAAACGATTGTAATAAAATTTTGTTTACTAGTTATGCTATCAATCGGTTTCTAAGCAGTCCGAACCGTGTATGAATAGCAACAAAAATAAATAGCTTATGTGAGTATTGGTTTTTATCACTTGCTTGTGTACTTTGTTAATTTTTCTAGTGATCAAGAGAGAAAGTAACTTTCAGACTTATTATCTATATAAAGATCAACTTATTATGGCTTATACTTCTGCTGACGCTTTTATTACAATGTAGATTATTAATTGGCTTTCTGACCCTTATTGAAAGTGGCATTTAATGCACAAACTTGATGATGAAGCAATATTAATATTTTCTAGAATGCCATCATGTATATGCAATATTTGTAAATACGATTGTATAGCCTTAATAAGCGGTATCCAAAATAATATTTTATTTCTCGAATGCCTGTATTTTTTTCCCTTCTGCATTAAGTAAATCAAGATGTAACACATGTCATTAAAGTCGTTGACTATCAATATAAATCATGTGACCTGATGCTAACCTAATGGTTGGGGTTCACACAATACTCAATCAGTAAGTAACATGGTGTTGAATCGGTCGCAATGTCTCAGTTAAATTCATTCGTTAGTCACCTGTAAATCGTTGCAGTTTCTCTTTTTATTCATTACGAAACATCTCAGTTTGATAGCTGTCGCTCATCAAGTCCTCATAGTCATTATAATCATTGTACTGGCAAATCGATGTAAGTCCTCCAAGTCTTTACGAAATTGAGAAAGTTATAGGAAATCTGAAACGAAAGAGAGCAGCAGGACCTGATAGATTTACCCCTGAGATTTTTAAGGATGGTGGTCCAGTTTCAGCAGTTAGATTGACTGAGATCTTAGGTAGAATCTGCGATCTGGGTGTAATAACATCTGACTGGTCTCAATCACCGATTGTCTCAGTCTGCGAGAAATGACAAAAGCCCTCTTGTGACAATCACAGAGGAATCAGTCTAACTAATTTAGTTTCTAAAATATTGGCATCAACAATAATTTGACGCTTAACGAAAGCTCGTGAAGAGCAGACTAGAGAAAACCAGGCTGATTTTCTACCTGGACGTGGATGTATAGACCAAATATTCACATAACATAGACACTCGTTCCGACGCCCCAGACTAGTAGTATTTCTTGACCTTAAAGAGGCATTTGACTGTCGATTGTGAGGTTCTGTGGCAGTGTCTATCATTAAAAGGTGTACCAAAGAAGTACATTAACCTTATACAGGTTCTCTACTCGAACACCACTGGTCGAGTGAGGGCCTATGACGAACTGTCATCGGAATTCTTTACTTCAAGTGGTGTCCGTCAGGGCTGTCCACTATCCCGATTCCTGTTTAACTTTGTCGTAGACATGCTTTTAGAGTTAAAATTATCATCGTCTGACTCTCCAAGGGTGAACCTACCAGGAGACACGCTTGCTGACGTAGAGCACGCGGGTGCATCCTAATCTTCTGAACTCGTCATCACCTCTACCTTTCTCTTTTTAAACTTATCTCACTGAATTACACTTATTAAATAATATCTTTAAATCCTAATCTTCTTCATTACCGCTAATGCTTCTACTATCCCTACCACTATGGGATTTTAATTGACAGTTTGCATCTGCTAATGTGGTATGGCAACCTGAACTGATGTACGCACGTACGAAGTTCTACGTTGTAATTGACTAACCGGCTGATAATCGTTGCACTGGAACTTGGACTGCGTAGTTACTTGTAGATTTTTTTCAATGAATAGTCGAAAGTGTCTGTACTCAGAAAACCACTTAAAAATGTAATCCGTTTTGTTGCAAATGAAGTACATATCTTTATCTATCTCTTTTTTTCTTTAATTCATTACAATCTCTTGTTATAACTCTTTATATGCTTTCATCAGATAGTCATCGTCTACTTTGATTTGAGGCTTTGTTATATGAAAACTGAATGTAATATAGATGAGTAGGGTTTAAAATAACTTTAATTCATATTTACTAGATATTAGAAACGATTATTTTGGATTGCTTAGGGTTTTTCACTTGGTTGAATGAGCTTATTAAACTAAATTCAAAAGTCAGAGAGATTGCAGTCCATAAAATTTAGGGTAATATGCGTTAGTTATAGGACCTCTTATCCATGGATTTGTTTTAATACTATAGACATCTTTGTATGGATAGTAAAACTAAACTTCCATATTTCTTCTGTAATTTACCCGAAATACATTGTTTTAAGCTGTCTGTAATTATTCACATAGGTGTGACGTTATATTAACTATGTTATAAATTGAACCTAACGATAACCTGTTATAAGCATCTAGATTTATGTTAATTTAGTGTTTGTTTTAGGTGTCATCACATTTTAAATATCAAAATCTTGTTATATGAACACGAGAAACATTATTTTTATACCATTTTCTGTTATTTGTCGGTGTTTTTAGTCTGAAAGAAAACCTCTGTACTCATCTATTACTCAGAAGTTAATTGACGATGGATTAGCTTATCGATGCTTCTGTTCAGCAGAACGACTAACTATCTTACGCAATGAACAAAGTCGTCGTAAGGAACCTCAACGTTACGATAATCGTTGCCGTAATTTGTCTCAAAGGGAAATATGCGAAAAATTATCAGCATCTGTGCCATATACTATTCGATTCAAGGTTTGTTATTATTCGCATAATTATCTTATTTTATTTTTGAAGTTCTAAAACTCATTCAGTGTTATACTTTTGGAAAACAACATCATGATAACAATACTGAACTATGTTTACAAGAAGCTCGTATACCAACTGACTTTTGGAATATTTAGACTGTTTGCTCAAAATGATCGTTGTCATTTGCAAACTTAAAAGTCCGAAATTCCATGTTATGTTTAGTTACGGTTTCACAATTCATGATAAAACAGCTTTTTTAGTCTTTGGTGTTTTTCAATGCTTATTGATCTGATCAGTCGTAAATACTAAGAAACTTGTAAGTTATTGAATATTTGTATCAGATGTAAACAGGTAGACACTTTCTGTTTACTGTAAAAAATAGTAATTCCAGACCGATTCCTGATGCAATGAATTCAATGAAACTCGTTTAATCTTAATTAGAGAGAGATGTTACATTTTATGATGCTTGTCTCTGAGGCTGTTAAGTGAATTCAGATCAAGGAATCATGATTCAAGAGGATAGATTGTTTAAAATTAATATGTAAAAATTAATACTAATGCATAGACTCTTAAGTATAGTATTTCAACTCGTTTTTTAAAATAACCAAGAATTTTTTTTTAAAATTTTCACAGCGTTTTTTAAAATGTTTTTTTAGTGAATAAAAAGAATACTATTTTTTTTAAAATGAAAGTCTTCTTTTAGCAATCGCTTTTAAACAATTGCGAAGTATATGCCTCGAATAACCTTGTATAAATCATTTGTGGTTAATTGATTTACAGAATTTAATATAATATAAGATTTGTAAATGATTCATTAAATCCGCTTGCCAGTGATCTCCCTACAAACAATGGATTTAATTTTTGAAAATGCAAATTCAATTGGATTAAGCATATAACTATAAGGGGACAAAAACATAATCTTTACTCCCTTTTCATCAAAAACATTTTCGGTAACATTGGAGACATGGATCTTTGCATTATCAAGGATAAAAATGCAATTCTTAAAAATTGATTTTTGATTGCATTTTTCAATCAATTGATCAAAAAAGAAATGAATGAACTTATCGGAGTTCACTGAACCAAAAAAATGTTTGAGCAAACAGAACTTCATTTTCTGTCATTGTGGATATTATCAAACTTACATTAGTCCCATGTGTTGACGGACTCATGGCACTTGCTGGCTTTTTCCCTTGTAGTTCTTCCCAAAGTTCTCAAATACCAATTAAAGGATGATTCATCATCAATAAAAACTTTTATGCAGGAGTCTTCGGTATTCATAAAATCTTGCGCAAATATCTGTCGTTTAATTTTACTTGATTCTGAGTTGATATTAATCGATGTATAAGGATTATAAAAAGTTTTTAAAAAACGCTGTGAAAATTTAAAAAGAAAAACAAATTGAAATACTATATATAAAGTTTCACAGTTTACATCCGAATACTACTACTATCTTAGTTTATGACATGTGAAACATTCAGCAACTAGTCAGTGAAAATGTAATGGGTTGTCTATTGACAGAGGAAAGTTGCTCAAAATCTTATTTTATTGCTAATGGAAGTGTTGAATTCCCAAATATATAGAACTAAATGTTTTAAAACTATGTTTATCTCAATATAGATCCTGTGAGAAACTAATTGAAGACTTTTGTTTGCTTACATTTTTTGTTATAAGTTACACACTGAAAATTTTTAGTTTTGTAAAAATGACTTGGATAAACAATTATTTTCAGAAGCTTCACCGCAATACTGTATAAACGTCACGTTACACCATACAACATATCAGGAGATAGACATAAAAGTTATGTTAATTGCCCGGTATTAAATTTCAGAATTTCGCGTCGAAATGTCTCATATCATAAATGTAGGCCGTCAATTCAATTCAAAGGTTACTTAAGATGATTAGTCCTAACCAATAGACTATAGTTTAATGCAAAATACAAAATATGTTGTTTTGTTTTCCTAAATTCATATTCAGAATCTAGTTGCGGTCATTCGTTTGACTTTAACTTGTCTATATGTAAAGGTGACACGTATATTGGACACAAAATTCTAAGGAACGCAGCATAGTCCTAGCCAAGGAAGCCTATTGTTTGATGTGACGTAAGGTTCAAACATTCAAGCCTCCAAGATGTAGTTTAGAGAGTGGTTTTAGGAGACCAGGAGTAACATTTCGTAAATTCAAATTGTCAGTACTGGTGACACAAATATAATAGTGAAACCATATCAGAAAGTTTGATAGTAAAGATGAAAAAGTGACGAAATGCTGAAAATTAGGATTTGAAGGAGTAGTACTGACTGCATTATCGAATTCCATATTTTTTTGGACATCTTGCACAATTATATTTCTTCCGCGAAAGAATGTCTCGCGAGACTTTTGGGATGTCGCGGATGAGAATAAGTTCCGAATATGATACTTACTTACTTACTTTCGCCTGTTACCCCCAATGGAGCATAGGCCGCCCACCAGTTTTCTCCAACCAACTCTGTCCTGGGCTTCCCTCTCCAGTTCTGTCCAATGTTTGTTCATTCCTCTCATATCTTTCTCTATTTCTCGGCGTAGTGTGTTCCTTGGCCTTCCTCTTTTCCTTTTGCCTTGAGGGTTCCATGTGAGGGCTTGTCTAGTGACGCAGTTGGGTGCTTTTCGTAGTGTATGGCCTATCCATTTCCACCGCTTCTTCCTGATTTCCTCCTCCATTGGAATCTGACTTGTTCTCTCCCACAGTTCGTTGTTGCTGATGGTGTCTGGCCAACGAATACGAAGTATTTTGCGTAGACAGCTGTTAATAAACACTTGTATCTTCTGGATGATGGCTTTGGTAGTTCTCCATGTTTCCACTCCATACAGTAGAACTGTCTTCATATTTGTATTGAAAATCCTGATTTTGGTTTTGGTTGAAAGTTGTTTGGAGTTCCAGATATTTTTCAACTGTAGAAATGAAGCCCTCGCTTTGCCAATCCTTACCCTCACATCCGCGTCCGATCCACCTTTCTCGTCGATGATGCTGCCAAGATATGTGAAGGTGTTAACGTCCTCCAAGGTATCTCCATCAAGCGTGATTCGGTTGGTGCATGTTGTGTTGCATCGGAGAATTTTGCTTTTTCCTTTATGTATATTGAGACCTACTACTGCAGAGGCTGCTGCAAGAGTGGTCGTCTTCTCTTGCATTTGTTGTTGAGTATGTGATAGAAGAGCCAGGCCATCTGCGAAGTCCAGATCGTCCAGCTGCGTCCTAACTGCCCATTTGATACCGTGCTTCCCTCCAGATTTTGACGTCTTCATAATCCAGTCGATGATCAGGAGAGAGAGA